GATTCCCAAAATTTCACTCTTTTTAACAAAGTATTTTGAGTATTTTTTAAAAGTTTCACTTGTTTAACCAAATTATATTCTGGTGTGTTCTACGGTGTTATAGTCCTATCTCTGTTGTCACCATACATTTTCATGCCAAGGGAAATTTTACTGTATCGCTAAGGTTTTTATATCTATTTATGCTATCTCTTGTAGTTATGGGTTATCTTGAACTTAAATCCAGCGCGGCACTTCTTCAATTTTATACAGGTCAGCAACTACAAAAGACGAATTCTTGACACGTTGTTATACTACAAAATTGCTGTTAGTTTACTAAAATTTCTTTTAATGCAAATTATAATATAATTTATTCCAAAAATTCACTTTTTTCATTTCTAGAATGCGGCTAATAAGCAATAGAATAGACATTATACAGTGAAAAACCTTTTGTCCACCAACAATGGTAGAAAATCTTGTTTACAGAGACTTTAATATTCTTTGTCATTTTCGTATTTCCTCTTTAATAAAAAAACCATATTGTACGCAGAAAATGCACCTAGAAGGGAACATAGAAATTTTTTATTTTCTTGATAAAGAAAACTTAAAATACGTAACAGTAAATTAAAACAAACGTGACTCAACAAAGTATTTCCGCTCATTCAAAATTATTCCAGGATATACAGCTAAGATAAAATAAATTATTAAAAAATCATACCTGCAAAGAGTACAATTCTTATGTTGTTCTCTTATCGGTTGAAGAAGAAGTCGAAGAAGATAGAAACAGTGCTTTTATTAAATGAAATACAAACGGACAATATGTAGTATAAATGTTCAAAATCATCCAAGAAAAAAAAAGACTAGCTGAAAATAATACTTGAAAGTATTTTCTGTTATGACAGCTGTGATTTGCTTAGATGTGGTCAGAGAGCAACTTTAAACAAAACATTGTGAGCAGCAACATGAAAGGTCCTTATTTAATTTTTGACAGCTTTAGAGGCCAGGAAAGACTAGAAATTAAAAATTCATTGAGCACTAATCCTTTTTAAATTATGGATAGGTTTTGACAGAATCAACCGTAGTTGGTAACAGATTGTTGAAGGTGAAAGCTTTTGCAAATTTTACAGCACCTTTCATGGCATCAAAAATATAGGTACAGTTATTTAGTTAAAACAGTCTTTCTTTCCAAAACTGCTTTTAAAAAATATTGTTTAATTTTAAAAATTAACTCAACTTTATTTCTGATTTAGTTTTTAATAAAATCTTATTACTGCAAAAATAGATAAAACTTAAAACTTACTGCATTTCGTGCTACGATTTTACCGATCACCGGTTGAAGACAATATGCGAAGTGGTAAATAATTTTGATTAGAAAGAAATTCAATCAAAATTTTAAAATTGCTTTATGCAGACATATTAAATTTCAGGTGTGTTTCAAGCAACAATTTTTTAGCTATTAAACGGTGCAAAGTTACTCCTCGG